ATATATATATTTAACTTATTGATAATAAATACTAACGCACTGTAAATACTACATTTTTGAAAGCATAATATTTATTTATTTATTAATTTATTTATTGTATGCTTGGTTTGACGAAACACTAAAATTTTAACTCCACGTAGGGCTCTCCGTAAAGCTCCGGCGCGATGTGTATTTATTACTGTATACAGGATATTTCTAAAATAATAACAATCTTTGGAGAATAGCATCGTGAATAAAGTAGCGTGGTTGGGGAATAAAAAAGATAGTAATATAACCAGAAGAATTTGCAATCTGAATTGGCAACATACAAAGTTACAATAACAAGTAAGCAATCATACAAATGAAAAATATAGAGCAGCGATTTTGAAACGACTAATGAAGTAAATATCAACATCTTACTACTACGCTACTACACACAATATTTAGACACCTATTGCGATAAAAGTTAATTAAATAACTATCTTGTTCATTCTTCAGGTGGCACTATGTAAAGTAAACTTCGACATAGTATTAAGAACATAAAAAAATAACATTAGGTAAACAATAATAGGTAAAATAACATCCTATGGACAGATAATTGTAATTGTATTAAATTTCCAAGTTTTATATGGGTGGTCGCCAGGAGCGCAACAATGTTACAGTTTGACTGGGTGCTCCCATCATAATGTTATAAATATTTCTATTCTGCGAATGTGTATAGGCTGAAAAGATCGAGTTCGGCTGGTCATTTACGAGCTTGAACTATTTGAACCGAACTTTCAAGTTGGGTTATTATCTGAATCGATTGGAATTGACCGAGTGCCCAACCCAAACGAATGGGTGCTCAGGCACCCGTGGACCCTCCTATTTGCGCCCCTGGTGGTCGCCAACAGCGCTAACCTCCCAGAGTCGCGTAAAGATATATAACATTCGGCGTACTTCATTAGTAGCGATCATACACGAACGTACAAAATTACTTTTTGTTCTGCACTGGCGCCTGATACATACGAAGACATTAAGCGAATTTAGATTCGGACTCATTGCCGAGCAAGGTACAGGATCTGTACGTTCAATCCACCATTTACGAAACAGTTCGTCTAAAAACTCACGCATTAGTCAATACAGTAATACTATTCTGCACTGACCTACGACACTAACACTCTACCAATGACTTCGACTAACTACATACTCACAAGTCTTTAACGTTAAATGAACTAAGAATTACTCTGGGCTAGCTGTAACATAAAATCGTCAATCACACTCAATCTAATCTAACAAATAACAAACAATGCATAAGTACATAAATACGAAACAAATATAACACTTAATTAGCAGCTGATCGAATGCGGTATTGCAATGTGGTATTTCCCTGCGTAATCCTACCGGGGCGGGACTTGCCGGCTGCACATTCAAATACGTTTTTCTCTTGTTTTATAGTACCCTATCAACTCCTACAAGCTTGCTACATACTTCAAAGGAACGTACACACTTTCTCATTTTGAGTCAATTTTCACATTTCCGAAAACTAAAGTAACCTACATTTCTAGCTATTTCGGAACAGTAATCTAATCTAAGTCTATCTGTGCCCTTTTTAAATCCTACTTTTGGTTCTGATATGTCTGTAACCAGTTACACATTTTACATAAGGTGTCCCACAAATGTATCTCGCCTTCTTTTTACTTCCACAGCACCCCCTTTAAACAACCTCCTATAACATCAAATGTCACACACCTCTAGCTTATTCTTTTAATGTTATTAACCATTTTATTATTATAAGGAATGAATGAATAATAAGAATGAATAGTTCCATGCATTAAAAAAGGAAGATATTTACAATTATTGGTTAATTAAAGTCGGAATACGCAAATATGAAAATATTTTTAGAGATAATAAAGTTACATAAATAGACAAATTATACAAATACTTACTTTGTAATATATTCTGATATTGTAGCAATCTATGCAGAGGCTTAAGTACGAAAGAGGTGAAAGGTAAGTAGCAAACTTTTTGGGTTTCAAAATCCCGATAAAATTGTTCAAAACGGTTGTTTGATTTTAACGCTGAATCTAATTTTTCTAGTACTAATATGTGTCCATCTAAATATTCTTCATATATCTAAAATCAAAAACATATATCAAAGCAGTTTTTCGAAAGAGAACATAAAAACGGAAAAGGTGTAAAATTTGTTGAACTCCACACTTTATACAGAAAAAACTGCGGAGCTTTAGAGGGTACAAATTAGACGCAATAAACAATCGCATCGCGAGTTTAACAGCATGTTTCAGGGTAAAATATATTTTAAGATAATTACAATAATTTACAATCTGACAGATGAATTGGAAACGTAAATGTCTCCGAATAGAGTAGTGCAATAAAAACTCCACAGCTACATCAACGGAAAATGTAAACATTGCCGATTATGGAACGTTTAAGATAATCATAAACAATTTAGTATTACACATAATACTTGGATTGAATAAGTCCATTGCAGACAGCACTATGTAAATGCAAAAACACAAAAGAAAGAAAAAATAATATCAGTTACGTAGACATTAGTCGGTAAATGAGCATCATCTAGATAACTGTATAGGTAAATTTCCATATTCCATTGAGGGATTGCCAAGGTACCTTATCTTTTCTTATGAGTGGTTTTAAGTAAACTTACCAAAAAAGTAAAATAAGTTTCCAAAAATTTCGCACCACATTAACCGAAAATAGTTTTTAAAATCACGAAACACGTACGGCATACGACATGCGAATTAGCATCGCACCGATAGTTCTTATTGAGAAAATTCAAAATTCTATCCGGCCTGAAGCAGTTTGTAAACAACATCTTAGGAAAAACAATAGCCTATAGCGGCGATATGGTATGATGTCACATTATTGTGTGTTCTACAGTAACATACTCACCTACACACATTATTGATTTTGTATTGCTGCATTAGTTTATTGTTCAATTGCCTCATACACGGTTTAAATGATAAAAAAATAAACGGCTACTGGAGGTTAAATGTGAACATAAACACCCTGAATCACACTCAATCTAATCTAACAAATAAACCATACATGAATAAAAAATACAAAGCAAATACCTACTACACTGATACTTATAATTACTAGCTGATTGAGTGCGGTTGTATATATTGTTGAATGGAATTATACCTGTACTACGTTTTCTTCGAAGACAATGAACTTTCGAACACAGAAATATTTACTTAGTTTTTTTTTGTTTTATAGTGACTTATTCAGGCATGAAGGTCTAGTCAGAGGCATGGAGGTCTAGTCAGAGGCATGGAGGTCTAGTCAGAGACATATTAGAGGCAGAAACAGGAGTTAGGAGGGGTAGAGGTAGACCTAGATTAGATTACTGTTCGCAAATAGTTAAGGATGTGGGNAGATTAGATTACTGTTCGCAAATAGTTAAGGATGTGGGCTGTTCTAGTTTTAGGGAAATGCGAAATTTAGCTCAGGATAGGAAAGAGTGGAGGTACGTGTCCAACCAGTCTTAGGACTGACGACCTTATGATGATGAGTGACTTATAACCTCCTGCAAGCTCCGCACTTTTTTCTGTTACACCCTGATAAACGATAACTTAATGCAAACCTACCGGTAATAGGGGAGGTAAGTGAGTTAACAAAACGTCTGCCACTCCTTCTGTCGATGTTTTCGGTCCTCCTCGGCCATCCCAATTTTGCAATCTTTGTTCCAAATCCCGAACCAAAATGCCGTGAGCTTGAGCCAGTGGAGCTATAAGGGTCAATAGAATAGAACACTCTTCCGGTTCTTCTTTTCCCACTTCATCTCTAAACCACTGAACAAGAAAAGAGTAAGAAGAATAATTACGAAGACTCTGGTAGGTAAATAAACTAAAACGGACTTATACTTAATTACCGCAACCTTTAAAATTAAAAAAATCAATCTATTAAAGGGCGGGAACTAGGTACGTGTTCGCTTTTTAATAGTTGTGATAATTAGGAGTAGGTCTCTTTTAGTTTGGTAGAATTCCAACAAAAATACATTAACGTTGTTAGGTACCTAGTTATTAAAAAATTATGTTTTTTTGAAATTTATCTGGATATGATTAAAACATTTCAATGCGTATTTAAAAACTTACAATATTTATGACATCCAGATCCTTTTTATAAGTTATTTCAGTCATTAAGATTTCTTTAGCAATAAAGTAAGACTTGTCAGAAACTCGTTTTTTCTTAACTTCTCCTTCAATGTCTGCTGTAATAGTGGTAGTATAAGCTCCATTACTGATACTTCCGGTAAATGAATCGTTAGCATTAAAGTCGTTCATTAATTGCTCACTTATAATATTTCTTACAGAATCCAGATCTCCATTGGATGTCGACAATTGCCTATCTCCGTTAATTTTCAATTCATTTCCTTTCGTTTTTGAATTTGGGGTGAATATCGAGTAAACAAGATTATTATTTTCCATTTTAGTAAAATCAATTTTCTCTTTGGGACTGTCATCTGAAAAAAATAAGGAGTAAAGTATAGTTGATAAAAGCGAACAAAAGAACATTAACATTCATGCAAATGTAGAGGATGAAATGAAAATAAAGTGATACATATGTGGATATAAGAAAAGCTGTTGAAATATACCATATATACATACGTATAAGTTCAGTATAAATAAATGTAGAATCAGCTCTCATCAATTGTTTTTGAAGAGGTTTTGATATGCATTTTAATACATGCTATATTTTAAATGGCTTATTCTCCAAAATATAATAATGAAAAACTTTTACCATTATATTTTCATCGCATACTTAATAGAAACATATGATGTGCAAAATTAAATAAAACTACACACTAAGCAAAAATATACATATACAATATAACACGATTTTGGGCCATCGATACAACAGTACTTTTTTTATTCTGGAATGCGTTCGGTTATTATTTTTATTTTAATATTTTATTTTCTCGCACAATTTTCAATCATTTGCATACCTCGCATATTTAATAATTTCTTAATACTACATTCCCCTATACTGCAAAAGAAAACGAAATACTGATGTAACATCCATACACTAATTGAAATTAATATTAAAAAGGAGAAAAGTCTAAGTACATATAAAAATTTTCTAGCGCCGCTTTTAATCGGTCAATTTGGGTGATAATTGTTTTGTTTGAAAGAGGGTACCTATATCTCAATCGGACTCAGTTTCTCAAGCAGGGTGATTGATTGGATGATTAAAACTTCAACTTTGCAAACTAATCTTGTGAACGACGCTAACAGAATATAATTTCTTCAATTAACATTACAAAAATTACGTTTTACTCAAACTTACAAAAATTCTCATGCCAGCATTTTGTAGATATTAAATTTCCTTTTACAGCTGACGTCTAATAAAATAAGTGTATAAGTTTAATTGAAAAAGTTTCAAATAAAAACTTGTTCCCTATTTAAGATCGTTTGCAGCATATAAATTTGATTTACTATACAAAGTGTTCGACGATAGAAAAAAGTTTCGTTAAAATGATAACACAGTTAAATATGGACCCAATCGAGAAAAGTTATAGGAAAAAGTTGTTCACAATTCCAAAATATGAGGCTATACAATCAATCACGGCGATTTCAAATGTTTCTTTTTTTTCAAGTCAAATGACCCAAACAATTTGCAATATGCTCATTATGGCTACACTATATGTACAATCAAACAAACTTTTTTCTTTATTTTAATGCAAGATCGCCTGGAGCATCTAAATTTGATTCATCATTCACAGTGTTCAAAAAGTATCTGGTTAATAGATGCTACAAACGACCTCGTATTAAAATATGGAACAAGCTTTGCTGGAAAATTTTCATTTGAAAAAACTTATTTTTGAAATAATCTGTATAGTAAATGAAATTAAGGTGCTACGGACGATCTTAAACATAGGCAATAAACTTTGTTCGAAAAATTTTTCTGTTATACTTTGGTCACAATGAGCATCATATTACATACTTTTTGGGCTACCCTATTTATAAGCTGACTGAGATACGTCGACGATTTGTTAGCTGTTATGCCCTACGACAACAGCAAACTAGGAGAATTCCTAAACTACCTAAACAACCAAACAGTAGAATAAAATTAACGTTCGATAAATAACAGGTCTCTCTTCGTTCTTGAACGTCCCGATTATGCGGAAACCCAATGGCAAACTGGGAAAACTGCACATATGGGCAGATATCTACTCAAACAGTCGAATCTCCATCCTAGACAAAAGAGTCATCACACCATTAGCTAATTTAGCTAAAATAATGATTTATGAGCCGAAATTCTTAGAAGAGGACCTGTAACGTCCATAACTGGTATGGTTATGGAACTACAGAAACTAGACGGGTACAGAGATCTCACACAGGCAATAAGTCTAAGGAAAAAATCCCTACCACGGGAAGGTCTTCTTACCTACATGAGAGGTATTATAGACAAAATCGGAAAGTACCTACTGAGCTCACTACGCAAGAAGTATCAGAAAATCTCCTCAACAAGGGATTAACATATTTCACAGTATAAAGAATGAAATCACTATCATTTTGAAACAAAGAATATTATTCGAATAAGTTCCAAGCGATAAAGATAGCGAATAAACCAATGAAAAAAAAATATATATAAAAAAGGTGTAGTATCGTTTAGAAATTTCATTAACTCTTTGTAATACCCTGGACCTAAAAAGTAATTCGTAATGTAATACATCGACAATTCCATAACCAGGAAATATAATATACGAAAATACTTATACCACAAAACAAAATATTTAAGGTGAAATTTCCAAAATCGAAAGTAGACGGGTTAATTAAACTTAATATGACCTTCACGTTATGTTAACTAAAGTTTTTTTTAATAGAAAAACTAAACAACATTCCACTATACATTATTTACTATTGTATCAATGGCTTTAAAACAATATCTAATTGATCTATTGTGCACTTTTCCTATAAGAAGGAAATACGTATTTACCAGAATAGTATCCAGACACACATGCAATTTGATAAAATTAACAGAGCAAAATCGCAAGAAGCAAGTTACGAAAAATATTTCTACCGCTAAACAGATAACAGGCAATTATAACATTTTATTCTCACCTTAGTGGAAGCATATATTCACATCACGGGATTAGTTATGAAGGTAAGAACAATTGCATAAATTTTAATTTTATTGCCAACAAAACTGGATAATCATATAACAATACATGTAACGAATAACACAAGTAAAGAGAACTTTAGAAACATAGATTAGCTAGAGTTGCGTTATAAACATTCCAACTTCTTACAATTCCACATTTACATTTTACTAAGTCCAATGCCCTCTGTTCTTTTAGTAACAACAGTTAGTTAGTTAGTTAGTAAGTTATACATCCAAGAAACTACAAAAAGAAACAATTAGGGCCATTATCATGATTGAAAATTGAAGATTAATAGATATAATATTCACATCAACGTAAT